CATGCGCGTTCTTGGAGCGGCCATCGAAATTGATTACAATAGTAGCCAACATTGATTACATCAATAAACAATATTACAGTGTAATAATTTCAACACCCAATTACATTTTTATTTGATGTTCTTTCAAAGATAAAGTGAAAAAAGCCAAATAACACTTTCGTATTAAAAACATCAAAGAGATAAATCAAATATTGATTCCTCAGTAACAATTACCTGTGGCCGATCCAGTTGGAACGGCCGATCCAGTTGGAGTGGCCGATCCAGTTGGAGCGGCAACTCTACAAATTCACCATGGAGCGGCAAAAGTCTGAATTCACCATGGAGCGGCTAGTATTATATATCAAAAGAAAAAATTCAACTAATGAAAATGTATAAAAAAGTAATATTCTTACTTTCATTGATTAAATTAATTTCAGACAATTCAAATTCGTTTATTATAGTTTTTCTTTTGAAAAACAATATTAGCCGCTCCATGGTGAATTTGTAGAGTTGCCGCTCCAACTGGATCGGCCGCTCTTACTGGATCGGCCGTTCCAACTGGATCTGCCGCTATTAATTATTGCTGAGGAATCAATGTTTGATTTATCTCTTTGATTTTTATTAATACGAAAGTGTTATTTAGCCTTTTTAAACTTCATGTTTGCAAAAACGTAGAATAAAAATGTAATTGGGTGTTGAAATTATTACACTGTAATATTGGTTATTGATGTAATCAATGTTGGCTACTATTGTAATCAATTTCAATGGCCGCTCCAAGAAAACGCATGTTTTCATGATTTTATAATTGTGCCAAACAAAGATAATGAAAATAAGATACACTTGAAAAATATTTGAATATCCGAGAATGAAAACGCAACTTCTATTCACAACACATATAAGTGAAACAAAAATGAAAAATTTATTGAAATGAAACAACAAAATCGAATTTTTTCAAAGTGTAACAACAAAAAAGATTTTTTTAAAGTGTAACATCGGTATACTTCTTCTAACTCTCTTCATGCTATCTATATTCAAGCATTACATTGAACACAACACGCGAAAAATATCAGATATTTTTCAACTCTAATCATTGAACTTGGTGGAAAAATATCGGATAATTTTCAATCCCATCTGAATAAAAATATCAGACAGTATTCTCTGATATTCAGCCAGTACTTGGAGGTGTAAAATGAAATAAATAGATATTCAATTTCAGCCGCCAACAAAAATGACTTTGAGCCGCAGCGGCTGAAATAAATTTTTAATCATTTTTTCGGCCGCCGACGAAAGTACCTTTCGGGTGCGGTGGCCTGAAAGTGGCTTTTAATGGTGGCCGAAAGGCATTTCCGTCGGCGACTGAAAAAAATAATTAAAAATGCATTTCAGCCGCGGCGTCCCAAAAGTAACATTTTACGGTGGCTGAAAGGTATTTTCGTTAAATATAATATCAGATGAAAAACCTCTGAACGAGGTTAAAATGGAGTGACGCTCCTGTTTGTGGATTTAGCACTCAAAATAACTGATATCATTTTGAGTGACGCTAGGACGCTGTATTATTACTTGGTACGAAGTTCAAAAGTGTTTTTCGCATTCACTTTTGTGACAATTTATTTACAATAAGGAAAAATATCGCGTCACGAATTTTGAATTTAGTCTCCAAGTCAAGCTTTAAAGCAGCAATTTCATCGTAGAATGCGACTCTTCGTACAAATTCAGTTCATCGATGAATCGCCGATGCCCAGAACTTCGAAATACGAATTTTCCCGGATATATGGCATATGCCATTTTGTTGAAATGGTAGCCAGCTACAAAAGCTCAGTTTTTGGTTAAAGGTTGTTGGGCTAATTTTTTAGTAATCGGGTTTGGTATGAAATTAAGGGTGTCGATTTTTCATAGAAATCAACTTTTTTCTTTTATATCACATAAACATTGGCATGTGTGTATAGAACTTTTTGAAGGTCTTCTCAAATAATTACGAGCTGACTTTGCCCGATGTATAGCTGTGCCATATTCGTATCTTAAGGTGTCAACGGGCAAGCACCAAGGGCGTAGCCAGGATTTCATTTAGGGGGGGGGGGTGTCAAAAAAGAAATATTCAGAAAATCGAGGACAAATTTTCATTTAAAATCGAGGACATTTTTTTCACGTATAACTATTTATTAATTTTCGAACAAAATATAAATTGGTCAATAGAATCTGTTGTCAATGAACAGTTAATATGATATGATTTTTAAAAAGCAATTTTCGAGGATCTTTTTCAAACTTCTCAAGTACTTGTTCCTGTATTTGTTTAATGTTTTCTTTGACCATTGCGCGGTGGACGCTCAACATGCATAAACCATTGAGGCGACTTTCACCCATAGTAGAGCGCAGCCAAGTTTTCACACGCCTCAATGTGCTAAACGATCTTTCAATATTGTATGTAGTGGCCGGCTGTGATAGTGATATTTGCAACGCATGTTTCACAGATGGGAAAAATATTTCTGCTCCTTCAATCACCTCACACAAATCTAAGTCTTTCAACTGCTCGTCATTTAGCTTTTTATCTTTCCAAAGAGTTTGCCAAATATGGAATTCACTTTTCAAATTTGTCAACTTGTAAAATTCAGAACATTCCTCGATGTTCGAATTCAGCTCGTCGATGTCTTTTGTCAGTAGATATGGATGTAATGAATGTAATGAATACGCTGCTGAATTTTCATCCGAAAATCGATCATCTAATGAAGTAATTAATGAGTCTAATACGGAATCAACAATGATCTTTTCCAGAAATCATGTGGATTTGATGATGGATGGTTTGATCGATGCTTTTGTCTTCCTGTAATTCTCGGCAATTCAAGTTCTATACCGAGTGTTTCGGCAACAACACTCGCTTCATCCAGAATATCTTGCATAATGCTGTCTGCTTTTTCGCGGTGTTCCGAAATAAGTGACTTGATTCGTTTAATATGTGCCGCACACTGAAATAGATCAACACTTTTGGATTGTAATGCGTTCACCACTGGTTCAAGTATTGCCGAGTATTTTGCAATAATAAATGAACATAAAACAAATATGGGTTTTGTGCCCGCAGCATGTAGTTGAAATGCAGACTTTCTAGTTTCATAATTGCCTTCCCTGGTCAAATCATCCAATCCTATTATTATCGTTTCAAAGTGCCTTTTGAAAATGTCAATACTTTTGTATTTGTGCGACCATCGTGTTGCGCAAAAAGCAGGAATATTCGGAACATACTTTCTTCTCAAATTTGATTCTCTGAAGAAGTTTATAATATCTTTAATTGTTGAAATGGTGTTACGTATTTCCGGAACTATATTCAAGTCGTTCACAACCAAATTTATGTTATGATTTGCACATTGTGCAATGCACAATGAAAGAAAAGAGCATTTGGATATTTTTCTTTCAAAATGGCTTGAACAGCCATCGTAGCCCTGTCCAACGCATTTGATTGGATCTAATTCACAGTTTTCAATGAATTGGTCAATAGCTGCAGCAATCGATTTGGCGTCCATTGCATGTAAGGTGACAAATCCTAAAAATTCTTCACGAATTACCTTTTTCTGATCGTCATAAAATCGTACGCCGATCGATAATTGTTCCTTTCCAGAAATATTCGCAGTTTCATCTACCATTATGCTGCAGCAAGTGAAATTTTCGAAATTTTCTGTGAAAATAGCTGTTTTATGAAATTTGTATCAAAACCTAAGAGACTTGAAACGTAATTGTCCTCGATTTTTTAGGAATAGCATTTTTTTTATTGTCATGATTTATTTTGAAAATCGAGGACATATCCGAATCAAAGCTTTGGGGGGCACTTGCCCCCCCCCCTGCCCCCTGACTACGCCCTTGGCAAGCACCTTGTCCGTCCGTCCATTCAGAGCTCTTGAAAATTTTCTTGTCCGTCCGTCCGTCCGATCAACGGTGAACGGACAACAAAATTTCTGAGGGTCCTAAATGGACGGACGGACGGACAGGGAAATTTCTGTGAGTCCTGAACGGACGGACGGACAACTAAATTTAGAAAAAAAAAACGTTTTGTCCGTGTCCGTCGAAAAAATTTCATTGATTTTTGACGCGAAAATAGGTTGTTGTCCGTCCGTCCGTCCGTTCAGGACCCTCAGAAATTTTCTTGTCCGTCCGTCCGTCGATGTGCCCCGACACAAGCTACAACTTAGGCATATGCGCACCGGAATCCGTGGGGGGTCGAAAAAAGTACGGACAGACCGACAAACGCAGAAAACGCTATTTTCATAGAAGACCATGATCAAACTTCCAATGCCCATAACTTTTTCGTTTTTGAACCAATCGGGGCGCTTAGACCGGTGGCGAGGTGGAGCTTCTTCTGGGCCCTCCAGATACCGCCTGGGTACCCCCTTCGTGGGATATGGGTTTGGATTTGAAAATTTAATGAAATTTTGCAACCACTATATTTTTGACTAGAATATACTTTAGGCATAGTGGGTATGGTGCGTTCGACTATTTGGGCCAACGGTACCTAGCATGCCGGGGCTCAAATAGTGTTCTGAGAAAATAGCATACTTACTGTATATATAGTCGTGACGCAACAATTGACATTTTTGACATTTGGCTTGGCGTCAGTTGTCGGACTACCGTCCTCCGTGATATTTGACAATCATTTTTGAAAAAAAAATTCATTTTATTGCCACCGCCAAAAGCTGGCTGAAGAAGTTGATTGGCCATCGTGTGTTTTCTTGTTGCTTCGGGCTGGGAATATGACCATCATCGCCAACATTATTCGAGTTTTCAACATCATCCGACGAAAGTGGATGTTTGTTCGAAATGTCATTTTATCCGATAACGATTTTGCTGCTAGAGGCGAACCGTTGTCAATGGGTTAATTTGCTTGTTGTAGTTGTTGCAAAACAGCTGGTTCTTTTGATTTTACAACACTTTCAACGATACTGCCATGTCAACGATAGAAATTATAGCGATTCTAATGATATCTGAGGTTTTAGACAAACGGTTAAGTGATGTGGTTTTAAGAAAAAAATCCATTTCAATTGGTTTCATTACTATTTATTGTAGAATATAACTTGGAGGATCGAACACGGCTTCCTTGAGAACATTGTTATTCATATGTTATTTTAATTAAATTGCATCCTATCATCCATACAATACAATACAAAAAAAAAATCTGTGTGAGGGTTTCAATTAAAACTAAATTCCAAAGTTGTAAAGGCTAATATAACGATTGGAACGATCGTTTGGGGTAATCTAACTCGAACACCATTCGTAATATTGCAGCATTGAGTAGCAAAATTGATCACTTTAGGGTAATAATCATTCCAGAACTGTACACCTTGGTAGTTGAGGGTGTTCGTGTTGCTCATGTTGAAAGATCGATCAATAATAAGTACACCTGGATCTGTTTCTGTAAAATTAGCCCACCGAATGTAAACTCCAATTTCAGTTGGATTTGAAAACTTCGCAAAGTTTGCCCACATCGTCATGATAATATCTGATAAGCGCTTGTCTTCCGCTGACCATTGTGTTTGATTATCCAAGGTGACCCAGTATGGCATTCCCCAAACAAAAATCTGATCAAGTCGATGTGGTACACCTGACCACACTGGAAGCATATCGAGAATAATCTGTGTCTTTGGTTTGGTATCGAAACGATACATAAAAACTTCGGAATTTCTACTGAGAGCTTTAGCTATAAAAAAAGATGGTGCTAAATATGATCTTTCAACATAAAAGTCGATATATTTTTTTCGCAGTTCTTCATTAGAACCGCTAAAATATGGTTTGTAAGCAAATTCAACAGCATTCAAAATTGGTTGGTGATTCGTACCAGCACCTCCATTTTCTCCACACGCCGTTTCATTGTTTGCTTCGAGCTGTGAAATATCATTGAGTATAGCATCACTAATGAGTGTCGTGTACATTTCGCTCGATAGTCCATTATCAAGCATTTCACGCATCGAGATATCTAAAACGTCTTCCATGTCGGTAAATCCAATCATAACAGGTAGTTTTTGTACTAAATTGTGCCTTTCAAATAACATCTTCGGATCTTCAGGAACAAACGGAGTTGTGGTATTGCTTAAACCATTATCAATTACCGGTGTCCAATCGGGAACTGGATTATTTTCCATGAAAACGGTTGCATCGACACGTCGCAAGCAGCGTAGCATATTAGCCGTTTGATGTTCACATGCAAACATGTCAGCAACTTGAATTGCTGAATTTTTATATGACCTTGGATCGCGAACCCATGTTGAAGGTGAAGAACTCGACATTATAATCGCTCTATGGAAGAGACCTTCAGACCATTCACCTGATGTTAAATGCAATGAAGCTGAGACTGCCCCAGATACCCCATGCCCCATTAATGTCACTGATTTTGGATTTCCATTGAATAGATGTATATATCTACTTATCCATAGTAAAGCGATTGATTGATCCATTAGTCCATAATTTCCAGGTGCTTCCCCATCGTTAGTGGTGAAAAATCCGAAAGCTCCAAGGCGAAAGGCTATAGTGACGACTATGACTTTTTGTTTAAAAACTAGCTGAAATGGATTTATTTCAGACGAACTGCCACTACTGAAATCTCCGGATCCAGGAATCACTGCAATCACCGCATAACCATCTTTTGGTGGGGGTTCTATTAATAAATATGGAAAAAGTAGATAATCTTCATGTAAATTGGAGGTGTCAATCAATAAAAATCATGAATAAAATCTTAATATATCTCAAAAATGAACACTTCATTATCATTGCTCGGTTTTTGTATATTTCTTATTTGTGTAGGTTAAGGTCTTAAACGTACAAATTTCGTCCGTCCGAAGTGACTTTTTGTGGGCATCCCAAACGTCCGGTCCGAATGTTTGGACGGACAGACAAGACAACTGGTTGTTCGAAAAGTTTTCGGACACAACTATTTTTGGTCTGAACCACTGTGTATACTAAAATTTCCAAAATGGTATAACTCGACTTTACGGAATACTCAAGAAATTAATCCGCTCATATTGCATTAAACGTACCGTACATATTTATTTATCTACACACCAACAAAAAACTGGCTGAATATTCAGTTTTGCAGGAAAATGACTCCAAGAGTCATGAAAAACCTGATCTTTTCGTGTTTTTACAATATATGGTAATTTTATACAATAAATAGTTATAATAATCTTTCTCGATGGGTATAAGAATTTGGTCTATAAAAGCAAAACTAATGTAAGATAACCTAATCGATGCAGATAACATGGAAATGGAATGCGAGAAAACGCAGAAAACCGTGAACAACTCGAATTTTTCTTATCATTTTTTCGCGGAACTGATAAGAGATAAGCAATATTTGCTGTAGCAAAATTATGGCAAACCTCGAGTATTACAAATTTGCCTTAGACACTAATTTGTTATCTCTTATCACAGTCAAGATTTCATATGAAGTACATGTCCCCCATACAGTGTCCCCAAGAAACAGAAATAGGTATAAAGTATGATGAACAGTCATAGTGTTAAAAACATTCGCAAACACAGTGCAACACTAGTCAAAGGACCAAGACTTGGAATGGTGGAGGTGTTAGAACTATCATAGCTGAGTAAAACCCCAACCATAGGTTCTGACATAGTCTGATCTCGTTGATCCTGACCCCCCTGGCAAAATTTGACCCCCTGGCAAAATTTGAATAGAATTGATTTTTTTGACCCCCCCTTGAATTTTTGGCTTGACCCCCCCTGAATTTTTTGGTGTCAGAATGTATGACCCCAACTGGGTTTTGAAAGTTTAGTAGGGGTTTTCATTTTATCGACCTAGGCAGTATTTGAGATTCAGTGGAAATTCCAGAGTTGACTTCTTCAGTTTTTGGTCAATAACTCATCTAGTATTGGTGATAGCATGTTACTGTCTTGAGCAAAGTTGTAGTCAAAGGTCCAATAAACAAGTTTTGTGAACCAACTTTACCAAAAAAAATCACATTTGGTGGATGCAAGTGGGCTACATATCCGAAAAAGGTAGATTTTTCCAGTTTTTCGACCATAACTTACGAGGAATACATTGTTTTTACTCACTTTCTTCGTCAAAATTATAGCCAGAGAAAAATTAAACAACTCTCTAGAAAACATAAACTCAAAAAAACCACATCCAGTCCACTTTATTGGCTGAAAATCCAATTTGGCTACCAAACAACATTTTTGAGCATTTTTTGAATTCCAATAACTCCTCAACTGATCGAAATAGTGCAATGGTGTCTGAAGCAACTTTGTAGTGCTGCTCAAGAGCTTAGCAGGCCAATTTCTAAAAGTACTAAAATAGTACTAAAAATGTACTAAAATGTACTAAATTGCCTAAAATCATTTTGATGGCCATCGGCCACTCTGAATGATTAAAGACTGCCTAAATCATGTTAGACGCTTTGTTTTGGAACACACTAAACCCTAGCCATCGATACACAACTGAAAAATTGATATGTGAATCGAAAAGATTATAGTCTAAAATGTTACATTTCCATAGGTTATACTGGTGTATTTTCGATTCACATATCAATTTTTCAGTTGTGTATTGATGGCTAGGGTTCAGTGTGGTCCAAAACAGTGCGTCTAACTTGATTTAGTGCAGTCTTTCATCATTCAGAGTGGCCGATGGCCATCAAAATGATTTGGACATTTTAGTACTTTTATAAATTGGCCTGCAAAGTTCTTGAGCAGTACTACGAAGTTGCTTCAGACACCATTGCTCTATTTAGATCAGTTGAGGAGTTATTGGAATTCAAAAAATGCTCAAAAATGTTGTTTGGTAGCCAAATTTGATTTTCAGCCAATAAAGTGGACTGGATGTGGTTTGTTCGAGTTTATGTGTTCTGGAGAGTTGTTTAATTTTTCTC